AGCTACAGATATGGCAGCATCATCACCACCATCTGTAAGTTACTGGGGACAACGAAGGTCCCTCCAGCTATTACAGGGGAGAGCACAACCACTCTGGAGTGAGTTACAGTTGCCACACAAGTCTGTAGGCCAAAGATGCCAGTGCTCCTGGGGCGGAGATATCAGCAATTACGCAAGACATCATAAAGTGCAGGGACGTCCCATCAAATACCTGACCGTGGCTTTGGATCAATTATGAATTCTGCCTATAATGAATCAATCCTGACCGCCACGCTGAACCTCCTCTTTGCTACTGGAGACTACTGTATGTTCTTGCATATAACATCCCGTAATATAGTATGCAGCTTGTTTTAAAAAAGCAGAAGGAAGTAGGGGGGAAATTTTTTTTTTCCCCCCCAGAGTTTTGGCTGTCCAGAGCAGGACACTGCCTAACTAAAGCTAAAACCCTCACACAAAGGCTGGTCTCCATGGGTGGATCTAGGATTTTGAAGACAGCTAAAGGAAGAGCTTCTAGGGTTGCAAAACAGGAGGAAAGAGAGAAAGAGAGACCAGGAGCAGTTAACAAACAGCAAAGTTGTCCAGAGGAAGGTTAGCTTGATTAGTAGAACATGAAGACCATTAAAAAGGAGAGCAGCTTCTACATTTAATAGATGTACCCCAATATTGGGAGGCTGATTTTGTGGGAAAAGGGTGCATGTGTATGTGAGGAAATGCAGTGCTTGGGTTGTAGTCAGCACTGAATGCTAATGCACTGCAAGTATATTCAAGGATAATCATTCAGTCACCATAATTTGGCTCAGGAAGAAGCACAGCAAGCACAGACAGCACCTGGCCTTCCACTGAGGGCACAAGCTGAGGTTGCAAAATAAGGCAACCCGGCCTTCATAAACCATCTGGCCAACGGTGCTGCCGGTGTGAGATCTACTCACTCTCTCAGATACTGCAGCAAGCACTCTTATAACACGTTATGACCACAAAAGAAATTTTCAAGGCAAGAGAGGTTGCTTTGGTCATCAGCTTTGGCCTCCTGTGTAAAAGCAGCCGGGGAATTTCACACAGTGACTCTTGCATTAAAGGTCATCACTGATGATTATAGCAGAACCTACCCTTTAGAAGGGCACATCCAATGTCTCCAGTATTTTAATCATTATCTTTAATCCACCAATTAAATTTGAGGCCTGATTTCTCTGTTCCTCTGCACTTAAGAGCAGGTTTGCTGGAGACAGCTACATGCTTTGCAAGTGAGAAAAGTAAAATCTAACTTCCAGCCCTACTTTCCTATGCTCCTATGAGCTTCCTCTGGAAAAGTGGCATAGTTCCTTAAAATCGATGTGATATATTTTATTAGACCAACTGAGCAGCTGTAAAAAAGTTCTTAGCAAGCTTCTGGGTGCAGTCAACCTTCATCACTTTGCCTTTCTATGTCCTTAGACCCACATGGGTACAACCAAAAACCTAGCATAGTTCATTAAGTTACCCGAGGCAAACATCCTAATCTTTTCAGGAGTTTGCATTTTGGGTATTTGGGTCAGCAGCCAAGTTTGAATTCATGCTCCAAAGTTTGCTCATTGGATGTGGTGTCAATGGGGAGACTCTTTGTCTGGTTTTATTCATTTGCTGTAAGACAAAGCATCTCTTAGCAAGGATATTGTTGCATGTAATATTGCTCAGAACTGGCCCTTTCGCTCTACACTTCTGGTAAGTACCAGCAAACAGGATACATTCAGGATGAGTAGTCACTTGCTTCTGTTTGGATGGTGTTTCCTGAATTTAGATCAAGCCAGCGGTGGAACCATTGACTGGACTTACAACCAGGGCATTAAGTACTCCTTCACATTTGAGCTGCGGGACGCTGGCCGCTATGGGTTCATGCTCCCTGCCAACCAGATCATCCCCACTGCTCAGGAGACATGGAAGGCGCTGATGGTCATCATGGAGCATGCGCGGGACCATCCTTATTAGAACGAAACAGACTCGGAACTTGCTGTCTTCTCTAGAAACACCCAGACAAAAATGCTAGAGGTTTGCTAGAGAAAAATGCAATAAATATATACAAATGAAGGAAGAAGAGTATGGTCTCTCACCACCCCTTCCCCAATACAAAGATTGCTAACTTTACGAGGTTCTGCCGCTCAGTCCCTCCCTCCACGTCATCCTCTAAACTAGGGTTGGCCAAACGGCAGCATGAGTGCCACGGACAGCCTCTGGCATACGACAGATCAGGAAAGGGAGAGGCAGCACAGCAACAGATAGATCAGGAAGCAAAAAGCAGAGCAGGAGATTGGGCAGAAGGGGATCAGAGCAGCACCCAGGGAGGTGTAGGACTCATTTGTGGCATGCCTGCCAAAAAGGTCGCCCCCCCTAACCCCCCAACTTTCCAAGCAGAGGGTCCCCATTTGTTGTAGTCATCAGTGCAAATACAGGTCATTATAGAGAGTTGCATCCGCTGTGGTTTTAACCATGTAGGCCTCGGCACAAAGATGGCAGGTTCTTGAAAGAAAGCAGGTCTTAAGAATTGCCAACACTAGATTTATTTCCATCTGTTCTGTGGGGTTTTTATGGCACCGCCAAGCTACCTTCTTCCCACATCCTTCCCACTTACCTTTGGAGGAAGTCTACTCTCTTTACCTCTTGGGCCGAACTCCTTGAAGAAGAGATTGGTGACTTAAGTAGCATTGTTGTACTGCAATAGGGCTGTCAGAGTCCACGAAGGCTGTGAAGGGAAGAGGAAGAATTCTGCTCATGGCTAGGCCATTTCTGCCTTTTTACTGGGGATATGACATTAGTGTCGTAGTTACATAGTGCTTAGGGTCGGAAGGGACCTAAACAGATCATCAGGTCCGACCCCCTGCCCTGGGCAGGAACGGGTGCCACGGCCATAACACCCCAGCCAAATATCTGTCCAGCCTCCTCTTGAAGGAGTACCACCTCCCTTGGGGGCCCATTCCCCTACCTGTAAAGTAATGTCTCCTGATGTCCAGCCTGAACCTGCTCTCTAACAATTTGTGGCTGTTATTCCTAGTAGCTCCGGGTGGTGTCTGGGGGAACAGAGCCTCCCCCAATTCCCGCTGTATCCTGTCCCTCCCTTCTGGCGTGCCCACCTCGCCTCAGATCTTGGTGTCGTCAGCCAATTTGAACAAGGTGCTTTTCACCCCCTCGTCCAAGTCGCTAATAAAAAAAATTGACCAGTGCGGGCCCAAGGACCAAGCCCTGGAGGACTCCACTGCCCACCTCCCTCCCCCCCTGCCCCCCTCCCTCCAGGTAAAATATGCCCCACCCCCCACCACTCTCTGGGTGCGGCCCTCCAGCCAATTTGCGACCCATCTGACCGTAGGTATCAATGCCACAGTCTCCTAGCTTTTTAATGAGAATGGAGTGGAAGACAGTTTCTAAGTCCTTCCTGAAGTCCAGAAAGACTATGTCCACCACGACACCTGCATCCAAGGATTTTGTGACCTGATCGTAGAAGGCAATCAGGTTGGTCTGACAGGACCTGCCCCTAATGAACCCATGCTGGTTGCCCCTGAGCATCATCCCCTCTGCTGGTCCATCACAAACGTGCTCCTGGATAGTCTTACTTTGACCCTGGAAAAGCTCTTTGAGAAGATTAACGGGCCTGTAGTTGCCCAGCTCCTCCCTCCTCCCTTTTTTGAAAATGGAGACATTGGCCTTCTTCCAGTCCTCTGGCACCTTGCCAGAGCACCATGAGTGCTCGTAAAGCTGGGCCAGGGGCCCTATGATAACTCCTGCCAATTCCCTCAGCACCCTTGGGTAGAGAGCATCAGGATCTGCTGATTTGAACACGTCCAGCCCCTCCAGAAGTTCCCTAACTCGGTCCTCCCTGACCCTAGGCCTGGCGGAGTCTCTCCTGAGTCCGTCCTGAATCTCAGTGGGGGAGTCCCGGTCCCTGCACAAAAAAATGGAGGCAAAGAAATTGTTAAAAAGATCTGCCTTTTCCTCTGGTGCAACCACCAGATTGCCTAGCGTATCCTGCAGGGGCCCCACGTTACCCCACGCCTTCTTCATACTCCCTACGTATTTAAAAAAAGGACTTTTTGTTGTTCTTGATGCTAGCCCTAGCTCTGTATCTGCCTTAGCTTTCCTAACAGCCCCCCTACAAGCCTGAGTGATGGAGGTGTACCTCTCTGTGGTGATAGCCAAAGATGGTAGAAACTGAGCCTCTCATCTATAACTGAGTCTCGAGTGGACTCAGCTGAGCTGTTGGCCCCACTCAAAACTAGATTCTGGTTTGCAAGAGAAGAGAGAGCTGACTAGACCCTGGGTCAGGTCAAGGGAGATAGGCATTGGCCAAAGTCCTTATAGTCTTGTCTGATGGCCAGTAGGGTCACACACAGATAGGGTCAACCCTGTTCTTACTGGGCAAGCAAAATGTCGTAAATGAAAACACCAGTTGTCTTCGGTGTTGGCAACCTCAGTAACAAAGAACTTGGTTGGACTGAATGGGATGAACTTCTCTCACCACTAAGGGGAGGCAGCAATAGCTTACACCAGTACCGGGGTGCTGCAGCTCCCTGGGGTGCCTTGAGATCCTTTCAAGGGTGCTGCAGGATACCATATAATGTTAGTGCTGATTCATAAGATAAACCCAGGGATAGGAATCCACAGCATCAAAGACATTCTGACCTGTTGTGGTCTTTGAGCTCTTTGCAACAAAATTGCTCTTTTTTTTTTGTAGCCAAAAAAAAGTGAAAACTAAGAGCTGGCATTTTCCATGAAGTGCGTCAAGTCTAAAAAGGTTGAGAACCAAGGGCGTATACATGCTGGGCAAAGCTTTCATTGCCCTGCATATACTGGAACCCTCTTTTGTGGATAACCATTTATTTCCATTATTATCCTCTCCCAACCCTACTGTTGATTCTCTTGTCACATGGAGGGTAGGGAGAAGGTCCGAGCCACGATCCATTTTGACAACCCATTGCTGCACGTACAGTCCAGTTTGCCCTTTGCCCCTATAAATTTAAAGCAAAAAGATACTGATCCATGCTGCATCATTTGCCTTTTATTGAATTAAGCCATTTAAAAACCAGACTGTACAGAAACTATGCACTCCCTTCCCACACCCCAAACAAAAGATACCAGCCAAGTCATAAGACACAGTTAACCCAATGTGCACACAACAACAAGAGGGTAAAGTGGGACATTTTAGCTGTCTGTTTGCTACCTGGATTAAAAAGACCTTAAAACAATTCAGATTGGTGCCCTCCCTCCAATTAAAAATGAAAGTGGAGGAGGGCTTCTCGGTACCCCAGAAGATTTTGGACAGTAGATGGTAAGACATTCTTCACCTCCCAACTGCATAATTGACAGATTTCATTCCCAATTTTAAACTGGCCGCATTTCACTTTTGCTTCCTGAATATGCCTAATATTCCCGGATGCTTGCACTGTTTAAATACCTACTATTCCATATAAAAGATGGATCGGTTAGAACGATGCTAGTCCCAGTGTTTTAAGCACTGTCCTTACCTCTGCAGGACATATTTTAAATCATTCTGCTACGTTGATCTGATGTAGCAAATTTCTGGGGTGCAATAATACGATAAACTATCCTAGAGGAGAAGCTAATCGATTCTGTGGGGGATGCTGTTTCAATCAAGTTTTTATTTCATGACAGCAAGGAAAAAGGGGGAAGTCTTATAAGCCACAGGGAAGGAGTGAATTAAGCCCATCAATATCAGATGCACACTAGTGTGCGTCAGTGCTCTACCCTAGATGGCCAAAGTCAATAAGATACTTGGCATCTATATGATGCTTTCCTAAGATGATAATGTGTTTTCTGAGCCCTTTGCAAATATCGTGTTGTACAGCCTCATGGTGACATCCCTCTAAGGGAAGGAAGGATCATGAGCTCCAGTTTACAGATGGGACCCGTGAGGCTCAAAGAATTTAAGTGACTTGTTCAATGCCACAGAATAGAGGCAGGATGGAAAATGTGTACTCACGGGTTCCCTAGTTTGGGATCAGACAATTCAGTTACTCTCCAAAGACTTGTATTACCACTGATCAGTAAAAAAACGATGAGCCCAAAGTCAGCAAAAGTCATTGCCTCATTAGCTCATTAAATATAAATTAATCCATGAACCCCCCCCCAAATCTCTTACTAGAAATGCGATAACATAAAAATCAGACTACGAGATAAATAAGACAAAAATTGACATAATCTAAAAGACTTATTGGGCAGAAATTTCTGCCTACCTAGAGGTAAATCCAAGTAAATCCAATCCAGAAGTATCCGGGCCTCCAAATCCACTTAATGTTTTAATCCAGAACTTCTCATCAACCCAAAAATACATGCACAGAAAACCCTGTAAAAACCAATTGTACCAGTTAAAATACAACTTCACAGACTTCCTTAGGGAGCAGGGAGCCCCATTTTAATTGTGATCAGGGTTTGTTACATATAAAAATATAGGTATTTAATGAAAATTTACAAAAACGCCAAATGTAGCTCTTAGGCTCTCAGAAGTGCCTGGGGTGAGATGGGCTGGGATAAATATTGGCTGGCACCTCTGGAATACCTCCCTCAAAGGAATTTATGCAGGTCCCCCTCTAGAAGTAGGAGTCGTTTGTATGGGTAGGAGCTGAGCACAGACGACGGCTTCTGGCTCAGAGCTATGAGGTGAACCAGCTGTGCAGGTCTTGGATCACACGTTCTTCTGTAGCACGTGGTCACCTTACAACCGGCATCCTCATAGCTGTCACCTGCCTATCTATGCCACCCAGCCAGCCCACTGAACAACGTCTGCTCCTTCGGTGGTTGAAAAGCATGGATTTTTTTGGCATGTTACAGCAGAACAAAGCGTCTCTTTCGGAA